TGGTGATGGTGGTGATTGGTGATGGTGGTGGTGGTGGTGATTAATGATGGTGGTGATTGGTGATGGTGGGGTGATTGGTGATGGTGGTCATTGGTGATGGTGGGGTGATTGGTGATGGTGGGGTGATTGGTGATTGGTGATGGTGGTGATTGGTGATGGTGGTGGTGATTGGTGATGGTGGGGTGATGGTGATGATGATGATGGTGATGGTGATGGTGGTGATGGTGATGGTGGTGGTGGTGGTGGTGGTGAGCTGGGGATGGGTATATGCTAATGGTTGATAGTGATGACAAGGAGGGTTGGTGGTATCGCAGTAATGATGGTGGGGTGGGTGGTGACTGTGTTGGTGACGTATTTCTTTGGTGGGTGTGTTCTTTTGTCTATGCATTATCTTCTCAAGAGCAGAGAACAGAGGGTTTTGCTCTGCCTCCGCCTTCTGCAGGACGTGGGTGATGAGTGTTGAGGAGCCTCATTAGCACCCCCTGGTTTCTATTTCAGGATATCGACTGGGTGCAGACAGAGAAGCACGTGTTTGAGCAGGCATCCAGCAACCCCTTCCTCGTCGGCTTACACTCCTGCTTCCAGACAACCAGCAGGTGAGGAAAAAAGGTGTCCTGGAGGGTCCACTGACTTTCCACTCGAGCCTCGTGGGAGCCGAGTCGGGCCGAGGTGTCACTGTCCTCTGCCTTCTGCCAGTGGCCGGGGCAGGGCATCTGGGTTCTCGGGCTGGCTTTGTGTTCTCCTTGTTGAGGTTCCACAGTCGAGCCTGAATTGTGCAACGTGCAGGAAGCGCCCCACAGTGCACACCATCAGGCCGGGTGCTGGGTGCAGGAGCCTCTGGCTGATGGAGGGCTGTCACTGAGCACCGACGGCCTTGCTCACAAGCTCTGTGCTGTCTGGGATTCTGCTTTCAGATGCCTGAGGCCCGTGGTCTCGGCATTGAGTGTGTGCTCTGTTTAGAATGCGGGCACCGCTGACGGGGACTCGGTGTGTCTGTTTGAAAACTTCTGTCGCGTGCCCAAGACCACCTCGGGGTACTGTGCTGTGATTCATTGCACCAAAAGTATAAGGGAAGACTGGCCRAAGGACAGGCCTCCGGGTTCTGGAGGAAGAGAGGCACGGCCTCCCCAGGCTCCCGCAGTGAGCTGGGCGGCTCAGGGCTTTACCAAGGGCCGGCCATGGAACCCTCCCCCAAGACGTGCCAAAACCCCCAGTGCCCGAAGGTACTCAGCATCGGGAGTCCTCGGGTTCCCCAGAGAGGCAGCTGTGTGTGTGAGAGAGAGGACGGCTTTACCGTACAGCGTTGGCCGTGAGACCATGGAGGCTGGGGAGGCTAACGGTGTGGTTTAAAGGCCTGAGAAGCAGGAGCCCCGATGGYAGGAAGACGCCCCGGCCCTGCAGGACCCGAGTCCAGCCTTCCTCCACCTCTGCTCTGTGGGGTGTCACAGCCACATGGGAAGGGGGCCCACCCAGCGGTGCTGGCCCAGGGCAGGGTGGGGGTGTGGGGAGCTGTGGGCTCTGCCAGGCCCGGAGGGGCTGCCCCTGCCCCGCTGCTGGAGAAAGGATCTGTCTCCCCAGTTCCTGGACCCGCCCATCTGGTGTCCTTTCCACTAGCCAAGGACCCAAAGAAACTTGAAGTTTCTGTGATGGGAGAAGGTTCTAGAAGGACTGGGAGGCAGTGTGGGGTGAGAAGAGGGCCGAAGCCTGGCAGAAGCAGTCCTGTTGTTCAGGAAGTTCACTCCTCTCCTTCCCTCCCTCTTGCCTTCCCTCTTGCCTTCCCTCTTCCTTGCTCAGGTGGACAGGGGACTGGACCCAGGGCACTCGACTGCCCAGCAGCACCCAGTCCTTTGGTGTACGTTTGTTTTTAATTTTGAGACAGAATCTCGCTACGTGGCTGAGGCTGGTCCCACACTTGATCCTTGGACCTCGGCCTCCCATCACTGGGGCCAGGGGTGCACCACCACGCCCAGCCCCTTCTGTGTGTGTGTGCGTGTTGCTGGGGTCAGACCCAGGGCCTCTCACTGGCTGGGCCAGCCAGCCACCCCTGCCGTCCTCCCTCAGGGTGCCCTGAGGCTGCTGGCCCAGGGTGTCCCCCTTGTGTCCAGCCCATGGGGGCGCCCCCTGACCCCTCTGGGAGCTCCGTCCTCAGCCGGCAGTGTCTCCTGACCTGGGAAGTGGGGCCTGTGCGCTGTGACTCTCTCGGAGCACCCTGCCCCAGCGCCTGCAGCTCTGAGTCCATCCTCAAGGACAGCTGAGGCTGCCCGCTCCCCTCCCACCTGCAAATGCCACCCTGGACCTGCCCCGGCAGCACCGCCTCCGGGTCCTTCCCTGGGTCGGGGGGTTCTGGCCCATCCCTGTTGCTGGTTGTTGTCCCCGTCTTGTTGGTGTGACAGGGCATCGGTGCCCAGGCTGCCCCCTGAGGGCCGCGGCCTCTGGGCCTTGGACTCTCTGGGCTGACCCCTTCCTGGCTCTGCTGTCACTTGGTCACCCTGCAAGGCATGGCGGGCCATGGGCTCTGGGCTCACCCAGGCTGTCTGGGGCAGGGCTCGTTGCCATGGTGATGTGGGCTGTCTGTTGTCCCTTGTTTGTCCCATCTGTAAAGTAGGGCAGGTGCTGAAGTCCACCTGGAGGTCTGGGAGTAAATGAGTTAAAATGCAGACGGCAAGGACGTGACACCTGTGGTCTTCATGGTCACCACTTAGGGCTAGGCAGACTCGGTAACTTGTAGGAGGTCGATGTCCTCATGCATCTCTCCACCACGGGGGGTGTGCAGAGAATCGCGTCACTGGGAGATTTCACCAGTGTGTGGGCACCGTGAAGCAGCCCGGCGTGCTGGCCACACCTGTCATCCCAGCAGCTCGGGAGGCTAAGGCGGGAGGACTGCGAGTTCAAAGCCCGCCTCAGCATGTATAGAGGCCCTAGCCACCTAGGAAGACCCCATCTCAAAAATTTTTAAAAGCAGGGCTGGGGGTGTGGCTCGTGGTCGAGCCTTGCCTCATATATGTGAGGCGCTAGGTCCAGTTCTCAGCACCACGTAGAAATAAACACATCAAATAAAGGTCCACCGACAACTAAAAATATGTATAAATTTTAAAAAGAAATTTTAGGAAGCGCTGGGGGTGTGAGTCGTCATTCGTGCCCCCGGCCTTCCTGCTGCAGCTGTAGGCAGGTGTGCAGACTCTGGGCTGGGCCGAGGGCAGCGGGTGCCCTTCTTCTCTGGAGCATCCAGTGGGACACCTGGGCATGCAGCGTGGTGTTGTGCCAGCCATGGTGGGATCCAGGGGTGCCTGAAGAGTGGGGGGTGGCTCGAGCTCCCTCCAGGTGGGGTCGGGTCCTGGGATGTTCCTGGGCCCCGGGCAGGAACGTGCCTGTGGCTCTGTGGCTGTGTCCGTTGTGCCTTCTCATAGCGAGCGGCAGAGGACCAGCAAGCCCAGGGGCAGTGAGGCAGGTGGTGTCCCTAGCGCGTCCCTCAGGGGCAGGAAGGAAGGCCTGCCCAGCCCCACACAGACTGCCCCGTCCCGGCTCCGCGTGTGCAAGCTGTTGTTTCCAGTCCCCGTTGTCACGGGGCCTGGTTAGGTGGTCTGCGGCCAGTTCTCCTGGAGCCCAGGGCAGGCGCAGGATGGGCACGGCTGCCAGGGAGGGTATTCGGCTGTGCCAGCCCTGCAGGAAGAAGTGGACTTGCTCGTCCCTCCTTGCTGTCCAGACCCCAGGCCAGGGGAGCAGCCAGTACCTTGGGGCCAACAGCCTGGGCTCCCAGGCAGCCGAGGACGCAGATCCACCCTGTGTCCCGGCAGGGTGTGTCTGAAAGCCGGGCTTGAGTCTGGTTTCCCTGAAGTGGTCTCACCACGTGCGGGCGGGGTCTTCCCAGTAAGAGGAAGCCCATCTCTGGCCAGGGGTTTGGAGACTGGAGGGACCTGTGCAGTCGAGATCCCGTTCCTGAACTCATGGTCACCTCAGTGGCCCCAGCCGTCCTTCCTACCTGTCGCCCTGGAGGGCTGGTGGCATCTCAGATGCATCGTGGCCACTCCTCTCTGGGACTTTGTGTTGTCCCCACACTGGAACATCTGAGTCCTGCAGGCCAGGCTACAACCCAGAGTCCCACCCTTCCTGTCTTTCCTGGTGGTTGGCAGGTCTGGTCAGCTGTGCCCACCCCTTCCTGCCGCCCGCGTCCCTGGTCCAGACCACCCCTGCTGGCCCTCTGTGGCTCCTGGCCTCCCTCCCAGGAATGCCTTCAGACGAGGCAGCAGGCCATGGAGTCCCCACGAGGCCCCTCACCCGGCTCGGCTCCAGGTGGTCCTGCAGCTCTGCCTTCCTTCCCCGCGCCCTGTCCAGGCCTCTGCGCCTTGGCAGAGGTCACCTCTCCACACGGTCCCCACCTAGCAGGCCTCGGGCCTCTACCCCTGGAGGGCAGATCAGGAGGATACAGCTGCTTACCGGTCCCTCTTTCCTCGTCCTCGTCCTCTGCCTGGCGCCRGGTTGATCTTAGATGTGGGGAGAGCCAGAGCCACACCCTCCAGCCCAGGCACAGAGCTGGCCTCGGCCGCCTTCAGTCTGAGCTGTCCCTGCCGGTCCCAGGAGCCACCTGGGTCCCTGGTTTCCTCCTCTTTGGGCCACGTGGGAGGAGCTGGACATGAAAGGCTACAGGCCAGCAGCCAAAGGCAGCTCTGTCTGCTATTGAAGGTCAAGTTCCTGCAGGCACCGTGGCCGGCCCCTGCAATCCCTGTGGCTCGGGGGCCTCACACCTTTGACCCTGGGCATCCTGGGCAACTGGAGAGATGGCGTCTCAAATAAAACGTCACAGGGCTGGGACGCAGCTTGGTGGCAGGGCATCCCCAGTTCCAAACACCAGTGGCCGTCACGGAGGCTGCCACTCCCGGGCAGCTCTCCGCTGCTCGGCCGGAGGTGAGGCCGCAGGTGCTGCCGAGGGACGTGAGCCCGGCCCCTTGTCTCCTGCGCAGGTTGTTCCTGGTCATAGAGTACGTCAACGGTGGGGACCTCATGTTCCACATGCAGAGACAGAGGAAGCTCCCGGAGGAACACGCCAGGTGGGTCTCGGGCGGGGCAGGAGCTGGGAGGAAGGGCAGAGAGGACACTGCTGTGGGGCAGCCATCCTCTGGGAGCCAGGTCTTGTGGGCGGCCCTGATGTCACAAGGCCCCGCCTGGGAGCCATGGGCTCCGACATTAGACTGCCCAGTGGCAGAGCGTGCCGGGAAGAGTGGTCTCTGTGTCCTTTGAAAACGACTGAGGGACACCTGCCCCTTTTCGTGGCACTGGTGTCTGCCCACAAGCCTCTGCCAGCCTCGGGCAGCGCGGCCCCCAGCAGCCTCCCCCACCAGCTCTCCTCCTCCGTCCCCCACCCGCCCTGCAGTTCTGAGTCCCCAGGACCCTCTGGGGACGTGGAGCCTGTGGCGGCGTGTGCACACGGCCCGCTTCCCAGCGCAAGTGTGGTGGCATCGTGTGCTTTCACGCTGCTGTGTGGCCATCCTGCCACCACCTCCCAGGCCACAGCTCCGTCCCCAAGTCAGTGGGCACCCGCCTCCGTCCTCTGAGAGGAGCTCCTCATGGTGCGCTGGCCTGTGTCCCCTCGTGGCTCAGCATGGTGTCTTCATCCTGCTCTGTTGCCACGGGGTCGGGATGTCCTTCTAAAGGCCACGCAGTGGACAGACTTGGCCTCCTCCTTCCATTCACATGTCCTGGACTCGGGTCACCCCGCGCTTCAGTTGCTAGGATGAAAGCCGCTTTGCACTGGTGGGCAGTGCTGAGCCCTGCTCTGGACTCTGGGCCTCCACACCTGAGGGGAAGTGCCCGGTCACGTGGAGCTCTGTCTTCATGCTCCAGGGCCGTCCCTCCTGCTGTGCGCAGTGGCTGCACTGCAGAGGGCATGGGGTCGGTTTCCCCACACTCGCCGCGGGCGATTTCTGGCCATTTTGTGCTGTCGTTGTGGCCACCCAGTGGCAGAGGGGCCTGTGTGTGCCTTGGACTTGCATTCCCCTCGCGTCCAGTGGTGCTGGGTGCCCTCTGGGTCTTGGGGGCCACTCATTGGCTCGTCACACAGAAGACGCAGCCAGTGGCCAGGAGCTGGGTCAGGCAGTGCGGCCTCCGGCTGGACCTCTGCACGGGCCGCCCTCCGCTGCTGACGGCAGGTGCCCCCCAGGTTCTACGCGGCTGAGATCTGCATTGCTCTCAACTTCTTGCATGAGAGAGGGATCATCTACCGGGACCTGAAGCTGGACAATGTGCTTCTGGACGCTGATGGACACATCAAGCTGACAGACTACGGCATGTGCAAGGTGAGCAGCTGCCCTTCCCTGGCACCAGGTCCCCCACCCTCCTGTGGTCCAGGGGGACAGCACCTCGGCCTGCCCTGCCCTTGGTGCCCCAAGAAATGCCCACCACCTGGAAACAGCTTGATGGTGGGGCTCCAAGGTGCCCTTCCACCTCTAGTCCATGTACAGTCCCCTCCTTGAATCTGTCCCCACAGGAAGGCCTGGGCCCTGGGGACACCACCAGCACTTTCTGCGGAACCCCAAATTACATCGCCCCGGAAATCCTGCGGGGAGAGGAGTACGGTGAGTGGGTGCCACACAGGAGCAGACGTGGCCAGGCCTCTGCCCTCAAGCAGAGAGGGAGGCGGGGCAGCTGGGCCAGTCCCCAGGGTCCAGGGCAAGGCCTGCCTGGCCACCAGGGAGAGGCTCGGTTGGCCATCTCGCACCCCGCGAGTCCTGGCAAGGTGGTCACCTGCCTGGCCTGCCAGCCCTTGCAGACCTCCTGGTGTCCAGAGCCGGTCCTTGAGGGCCCTGCAAGGACTTTCCCTATCCAAGGGCCCCGAGGCTGGGGCAGGGAGAGGATGAGGAGGCAAGGACAGGCAGGGGTCAGGGCAGGTGCCCTGTGTCAGTGGGCACCACCCCAGGTGCAGGGGAAGAGGTGTCCCAGGGAAGGCAAACGCGCCTTCTGCTCCCGTCCTGCTCTGGGTGGGAGGCGCAGCGGGACGTCATGTGCACCCACGTTCACCTGTGTGTGGAGGGTGTGCTGCGTGTGCACACCAGTGTGCCCGCTGCCCTGACTCACCTGTGCCAGGAGACCAGGTGGAGCCGGCAGGCCAGCCAGGCCCTGCCCTCAGAGTAACTGGGCCCCCGAAGCTGCTCAGTGGCCAGAGCAGGAAGACCAGACAGGCAGTGGACTGAAATAGTCCTGACCCGGCTGGGCCGGGCCCTGCACACGGCGGGCAGGGTCTTGACTTCGTTAGGGCAGGTGGCCAGCTGGACTGTGGTGGCAGCTGCTGTCCTTAGGCAGAATCCGAGGCTCCCCGGGCGCTAAGACAGTACCCGACCGACCACCTGAACGTCAGGAGGCCGGAGAGTGGATGTAGCAGGGGTCACGGGAGCGTTGTGCTGTCGCGGGGGCTTTCCAAACTCGGTTTAACAAAAGCAGAAACAAGAAATAGACTGGCCAGGAGTGGTGGCCACGATTGTGATCCCAGCCATCTGGGAGGCTGATGCAGGAGGATCGTAAGTTCCCAGCCAGTCTGGGCAGCCGAGTGAGGTCCTGTCTCAAAATAAGAGGTTAAAAGGACAGGACGCGCTCGGTGGTGAGACCCCTCCTTGGTTCAGCCCCCAGAAAAGGGAGGACGACTAGGTGGGCAGCGTATCAAGGACTCCTAGGTGGGCAGCGTATCAAGGACGCCCGAGCAGAACTGAAGGCCCAGGTGGCCACCAGGGAGCCACAGTGTGGGCCGAGGGTGACAGCTCAACTTGCAAACAGTCCTGCAGCTCCGGGGAGACAGGCCCAGGACAGTGGGTGGCGGGAGCCGCCGAGGAGGATGCGGGCTCCCTCGGTCGAGGCTGCGCCAGCTTGGAAGCGTCCCCATTTGTGTTGGCTGAGCCTGTCAAGCAAACCAAAGACGGCTCTCCCCAGGGTTCAGCGTGGACTGGTGGGCGCTGGGCGTCCTCATGTTCGAGATGATGGCCGGGCGCTCCCCCTTCGACATCATCACCGACAACCCTGACATGAACACAGAGGACTACCTTTTCCAAGGTGCGTGGGCCCAGGGTGCTCCGGGCTTCCTCCTGGCCACCCTCCCTCTGGCCAGCCTCGTTCCCACACGTGGCTCGCAGGCTCTGAGAGTCAGGGAAGGGCCATGTGGTGGTGATGCACTTCACGTCACCATGGGTGACCTGAAAAGAGAACCCTGACTTAGCCCAAACCCCCTGCTGCCCAGGCCAGGCACACCTGGAGGCCTGGACAGTGCCCCGGCCGTTGTCACCTGGAAGCCCTGACACCTGCCCTGGTCCAGGCCCCTGTGCCAGGAAGGCGGGGCCAGGGGCCAGGCTGTCCCTCGGCGCCCTCTGCTGGCCTGAGGCARGGCTGAGTGTGGGGAGCAGTTGGTTTGCAGCCTGTGGAGCCCTCCTGCAGGGTAGGACGGGGCCTGGCAGGGCACCCAGAGGCCCTGTTCGGAAGTGGGCTTAGGCGCAAGTGCTGGGCAGAGCCGGCTCAGCGAGGCCCTTCCCTGCTCCCTCCTCACAGTTATTCTGGAGAAGCCAATCCGCATCCCCCGGTTCCTCTCCGTCAAAGCCTCCCACGTCTTGAAAGGATTCCTAAACAAGGTACGCGCCTGGCCCCACGCCTGTCCAGGGGCCTCCGTCGAGGGCTCTGGGTCCTGGGACGTGGGCATCGTGCCCAGGAGGAGAGGGCAGAGCGGCCCGGCCCGTCTGGGAGGGAATTCCAGTAAAACTCGGGACTCGCGGGCCCCGCGGAGCAGTTCCATTGGGGGTGGCGGGGTCTCCTCTTGAGCGTGGGCCTGTCTTGGGAGGCTGACGGGCCCTGGTTTGAACCCTAACCCCAGGACCCCAAGGAGAGGCTCGGCTGCCGGCCACAGACTGGCTTTTCGGACATCAAGTCCCACGCCTTCTTCCGCAGCATCGACTGGGACCTGGTAAGGCCTCAGGGAGCTGTGCGTCCCAGGCGCCAGCAGGCCTCCAGGCAGGCCGTGTGGGAGGGCCACGCACCTCGGGGTCCTTAGTGGGGCCCCAGGGCTCCAGGAGTGAGGGGGACACAAAGAGAACTCGGCCCACGAGCTCACGGGTGGCACTTCCTGGCCATCTGTGGGCAATTTCTTGGGTGTCCTAGTCGGTTTCCAAAAGTTGCCTGGTCTCGGTCTGTCCCCACTAGTCACTAGACAGGTAGTGGCACCACACTCCAGTGTGGGTTTGGCTGGTTCCTGGGGCTGGAGAGAAGCCGACGCAGTGTGTCTCCGTGAGGCGGACAGCCGTGAAGGGCAGGCAGCGGGGCTCAGGGCCAGCGTCTGCTTCCCAGCCCCACCTGGTCTCGGTGCCACAGCAGCGACATCCACTCTGGCCCTGGGGTCAGAGCGGGCTCCCTTCCACACAGCCAGTCAGAGGGCTGTCCCGCACACCTGGGGACCCTGGGAAGGGGGCGGGTCAGGTGACCAGGCAGGCCCTGGCCCCTCCTGGAGCCCAGCAGCTGTGCATGGCAGAGCCAGAGCCCCGTGGCCTCCCTCTCTGGGCAGAGACTTGAGGGGAGAACTCTGCTGTGTTCTGTTGGATTTCCCTGCTCTGCAGGACGTGACCTCCCACCCAGGTGACCCCGCCCCTGACCCACAGGGACACCTCCTGCCCCCACCCAGCTGGGCTCCATCTCCAGGAGCAGGTGGCTCATCCTGACAGTCTGTTCTTTCACCAACAAGGCGTCACCCAAATCCAGGGCCAGCCCTGCCGGCCAGAGGGACACCTGCTCCTTAGAAGCCCGAGGGCTGGAGGTGGCTGTCCCCTGCAGGTCATGGCTGTCACCACATCAGCCGTCAGGCATCTCATCCCTGTGGAGGTGCCTCTTGACACGCGAGACACATGCCCAGTCACGCCAGGGGCTCAGCGGCACAGAGGACCCACATCCCCCCTCCCCACCCCACATCATGGACCCAGCCTAGCTTCTGTCCAGGGACCTCCCGCCTGCCCCCGTCCTTCCTCCTGGGCGTGCCCCTGCCACAGGGCCTCTCAGGCAGGCCTGGCCTGCATGGCGTTCCCAGGCTGATCTCCCTGGCCCATGGCCCTCGGCGGCAAAGCACAGCCTGCTGTGACCTTCCTGCCCCCTGGTTGTGGGCCTTGGGGGCTCCTTGGGGGCTCCGAGGCAGAATTGGCTTCGTCCACTGCTCTGTCCTTGTGGCCTAGGATGATGGCTCACACCAGCCAATGCTCAACAAATATCACTTGAGAGGGGCCGGGTGGCCACAAGAGAAGGATGTAATGCTGGCCTCTATGTTCACTCTCAAAGGGAGAGAGAGGCCGGGCCAGGGCCAGCACCTGGCTCCAGTTCTGACTCCTGTAGAGTATCTCAGTCCCTTTCAAGCAGCCAGACCTAAGATGGAGAAGACGATTCAAGAGATGCCCCTTTGACACTTCCTGATCACTGGAACTCACTGACAGACACCGGCGGTCCTGGGACACGCGCAGGCCACGCGCACATCTGCAGGGGCCTGTCCTCCTCTGCCTCCCCTGCAGGAGGCCACCTCCCAACACCCATCCAGCCTCTCTCTCTGGCGTCCTGCTTTCCTTCCCGACTTGGGCTCCAGGACAGGGAGCGGGGGAGGCCAGCCAAGGTGGGGGATGGGCCTGTTCACTTGCAGAGTGACTGTCGCTCTGCCACCCTGGCCAGGATCAGCCACACCACGCCCCGTGCAGGGGAGCCTTCTGACTAGCACTGCTCTGCTCTTCCATGGGCGATGGCGGTGACAGCCGGTCCACAGTGACCAGGTCATCTGCCATGTGGCCCAAGCTGCTCTGGGAGTGGCTGGGGGGGTCCAGTGCCTCAAAGGGCCAGCTTGGAGTCTGTCTCCTCTCAATCCCCGTCCCCCTACACACCTGGCAAGGAAGGGCGCTGAGCCAGCGTGGCAGACCTCCTGGACTTGTCAGGTGGCAGCTCCATGTAGGAGAGATGGGGCCTCTCACGGCTGGAGCTCAGTGTGTAGGGACAAGCCTGGCCCTGTCCAGGGGAGCGGCACCCGCGAGTGTGAGTGGGTGAGCTGGAGGGGGCAAGAAGGGAGGGAATGACTGAAGGAGTTAGTGGATGGGTGAGAGAATGAATGAGTGGATGAGTTGGTGGACGGTGAGTGAGGGAATGAACAGGTGGGTGAATTAATGAATGGGTGAGTGAGGGAATGAACAGGTGGGTGAATTAATGAATGGGTGAGTGAGGGAATGAACA